TTATATGTATTAATAAGTCCACATTTATGCTAAGTCCTTATGAGCCCCAAAACAAATGATCAACTGAGAAATCCAAATGATTGCAAGTAACAGAAAAATGTACGCATATACCAAGTATCCACTCATGCAACATATTATGGATATTCGAGTAACCCAAATTCATGGAAGATAGAATAATGCTTTAATAGATTCATGCAAGTCCACTTAGTGCTCAAAATTTTAGAATAACTCCCACTAAGTTTTCAGAGTTTATACTTGCAAATAAGTTAATGAGTGTGAAGCCCAATTTTCGTTCACTAATTTTCCCACTTGGGCAAACACTCATTAATATATTCTTTCAAAGATGTACCTAAAGAAAATGTCTTTATATATTAGACATAATAAAATGGACATCACAACCAACATAAAGTTGTCAAACAGAATTTCAGCAATGAGTTACACTTACTTTAGAATTTATCATAATTAATTTGCAAGCTTGATTGCTACCAAATTTATATTGATCAAAATAGACATACTAATCTTCATAAAATAGAAATACAGAGCCATTTTGGATCAAAGTAGTAGTCTAAAGTCACGTCTCAAAAAACATCACAATCCGCCTGTAAAAACTGTCTATACGAGCATGGGTTACTAGTAAATTCACCATAATTAACATACATGGCAGAAAATTACGAAAATTTTCTGACACATAGTAGACATTTATATGTTGAACATATCCAAAACTCAGGTCATTTGGTGATCATTAGACGTGTCATTCACCCGATTTAAATCAAGACACGCAATCTGCCAGAAACAATTATGTGCATCTATCATGAATTTATATATCCATAACAAATTCAATTTCATATCATTTCAATTTCGATGTCCAAAAGAAACTTTAGTAGTCAAATTTCATCCTCTAAACCGACATCATAATTCAAATTGAAAAGATTTACAAGCATAAGACTTAAACAATGCGTACCTTAGCAATCATTGATTAACCTTCATGGGTCCAATACTTTGCATCAACAAGTCTCATAAAGAGATACAAAATACATCATGATGCAACTGATTTCCATGCCTTCAAACCACAACCTTTTATGGGGCTCATTGTGGAAATATTTGTCACTAATGACATGGAACTTTATCCCAATAAACTTCATGAAACTAAATTAATTTACACCTGTAGGCAAGAAAATTAACTAGTTTCTAGTACTAGATTTTATGTCACAAAAGTTCCTTCATGAAAAACTTCAACACCTGTAGGCAAGATGAAGGTTTTCACAACTTCTGTGAAATAAAACCCATACTATGCCATCTTAATTAAACTAAAAGAAGTAATCCACACTTGTAGGCAAGAAGATTATCCCTTTTATTCTAATTAAGATGCAAAGTTGACCGAAGTAACTCAAAAACATAGTCCCATTGCAAACTAAGCCGTTGCGTCTTGCTTAGTTGAAAAGGCATTGGTCAACTCCGCCCTGAAACAATACAAGAAGTCACATGGATTAATTAACTGTAAGTGACAAAATTATGATAACCTGATTCGAGCTTTGAGTTTTTGCCAACAAATGGCACTAATTCCTTCATGACTCCCTTTGACATCAAATTAATCTCAAAATACCTGACAGCATACTTGAAAGAGATTAATCACATATAGAACAAGTTTTATTCCACCACAAGAATGTCAAAACTTATCATTATGGAGTCAATTGTTTGAAATAGAAATACTTTATGTAATGCAAAAGAACAATACATTCCTTTAATTTAAAAACTAAATTGCTCAAATGTTTTCTTAAGTCAAACGGGTTCCTTTTCTTTTGTACCTTTCTTTCCGTAATACAAGGCTCCTAAAACATTAGCATCAAAATCATGCATTAGCCTTGTAAATACCAAATTAAATAAAGGAACTACCAAAACTCTTTTCTTCCAAAAGAAACATCTCCAATACATGCCATACATTAGCCTTGATTAATTTCTTTTCTTCTCCCCTTATGGCACATAAAAATTGATTGATTAAAGCATTGTTTAAATTCTTTAGGCATGGGAAAAACTAATAAACTATATACAAGTTTGAAGACTTATGCTTATCAATTTAGTCACATGCTTTGAATGAAATACATACCTTATGCCTTCATATGTTCACCACTTCTTTATAAACATATTTATAATCACATGACCAACCACAATTCTCAAATAAATAGTTAAAATACAAATGAGAATTGTCACATAATTACTACAAACCTTATTCACTTGTATCATACCCTTATTCTTGTCATTGGATGCTTTCTGTCATTCTCAGTCAATCCATAAGTTATGCATTAGTCATGTACAATTAAATGACTATACTGAGATAGGAAAGCAAAATTGTAGACAAAACTAATTTGATTAGTCATGCAAATTCCGCATGGAGTTAATATCATTATAAACCGTACTTGAATTAATCCCCCATCATGCTTAGTATACTGCATTACTAATCAACACATTTGTGTTAGGACAACCCAATCCCTTTAATAAAACATGCCATATGTCCATTTTAGTTATTACCCATGAAAAACAGAGCAATAGACTTACTCTTGTACTAATGCCGAAACACCCAGACTATTTGTACAAAATATAGTCTCAAACAATAAAATAATTTATGCATTTTTACATATGCTTCTCCGCATGTTTACCATATACATACCATTTAGATACTGGTGTCATGATAATTTTACACATGCAATGTGAACTTCTAGATACATAATTGGCTTTAGAAAATTACGTATACTTAGCTTGATCAAACAATTGCTGGCACTTATGCAATTGCAATTCATGGCAAACAATATTAGTCCTTATTCAAATGGATAACAAAGGCAATAAAGATTTGGAGTTTAAGAAGTAATTCCAAAAACCTTATAAGGTATGTAATTATATTTTGTGGGGTGCTTAGTGTCCCCTTGTTGCCTTTCCACCCTGGAAGCAGTGACTGGAGCTGCTGGGACCAGCCAATAGGCTCACTCATGCATATTACTAACGAAAAGTCACGAACAAGCAAGATATATATGCACTTTTATATGCATGCATCTTGGCATATCTTAAAAAATCTACTTTTCCCTCGTTCTGTATGCCACTTATATGCAGAATTAATCATGTTCAAAACATATATTTTCTCTTTGTTTTGATAACCAAGTTTAAAAACTTAATAGTCAAAACTAACCATATGCATGATCAACTAATTAATTCGCAATTGACACATATAATGATCAATATTGTTTGCTTTGATAGGAGACTTTACCGAGCTTGTTGACTTGAGATGCTTCATATAGTCTTCCTTGGCAAGATTAGTACAGAAGTACATATTTTCTATATGCTTACAAAATTGACAACAACGTTAGCCAAAAAGTTGTATCTACCACTAAATCAATTCAACCAAAACATTGGCATGAATATCGAAAGAAAGCTTAAAGCATGCCATCTTCTTCCAGTCATAATTAATTCAGTAAAGATGAGCAAAGCAAACTGTTCCAATCTTTCTTTATGAGAACTGAATACAAGAAAGGAAGCTTGAAGTGCTTGAAAACCTACCATTCAACAATTATTAGTTTACCAATTTATGAGTGATATATCTCAAAATTCTCCAGTGCAAGGTTAGAACCGACCTCCATCAGGATCTCATATGCGATGCATATATGAACCTCCTTATTTGGCTTTGCTGATCAACTCAAATTCTCCGGTGCATGGTTAGAACAAAATGACTATTTCAATTGAACCAAAACATTAATATGAACATTGAAATAGAAAACGTTAAGCACCATGGTAATTCCAATTATACAATTCCATGAAAATAATGAACCAACTATTTTAATCTTCCTTTATTATAGTTAATTCAATATCATCATTTAGTGCTTCAATTAGAAAAGCCCACATTTGGAATTGAAGGGTGGTGGCAGTGGAAGAAAACTTGAACTCAACTGGCACCACTCGCAGAAACAGATTATCCAATTATGTAATTGTTTAATTTAACTGATAATTTCGGTCTCTAAGACCAAATAGGAATTGATGTAAAACATGTGCCGTGCATATCATACTAATATGCCAAGTATATACAATTATATGCAGAACCGTACTATGCAGTTTTCAAGCAGGTCCAACATGGTGATGTTGCCGAATGCAATCACAATTTGGATTTAAAAAACCGCAGTCCAAAAGAAAAGATATTATATAATCAAACTTCAAACCTAATAGGTTTTAATCATATAACCAGTGGCTCTGATACCAATTGTTAGCCTTATAAGGTTATACAATTAAAACACAAACGAAGAGTGACTGACCTGATTCCAATGGTAGTTACCGAAGATGCAGTAGCCATGCAAGCAAGACGTCATCGATAAAACTCCAATCTTTATGTTTGCCGTGACAAACAGAAACACCAACTCTTCTGTAAACTCCTAGCTTTATGACAATGCTCTATGGGAAGCCTTAGTTGTCGTGTCTAGGGTTAGCAGAGACCGGTGTTTATATACTAGCCAAAAAGTCTTAGATTCTGTCCATAAGGGAAAACTAAAACTCTCATTTCTTGGCTCTCAAGTAAAATATCATAATCATATATTATTAAGGATTCCATCAATCCTATTTCCAATATAAGACACCTTATATAGGATTGATATCTTTAAGAGATCAAATCACAATTAACATTATTCTCCAATATTACATTCCTATTACATATAGTAGACCACTTAAAGGTTGATTTATATTGGATAAATCCAACATGTATTGTAACCTAAAAATTTAGATCAGTACCAGTATTATTCTGTGTTTCCAGATTTGAAACTCTTCTTTCAAAGTGGTTTTAAGAGAATATATAGCTAATTGTTTGAATTAAAAATAATAATCATAACCATGCTGTTTAGATTCCACAACATACATGCAGCACAACTGAGCCATGCAAACTATATTAACACTGATTAACCCAGCGATACAAGAACCAAGGGATCCAAATATATTGAAAGAAAGAACATTAATATTTTTTTTCCTCAAACCTGTTGCTTGCAAATTCATAAAGCTTTCCGGTGCTTGAGAAGATCACAAGTCCAACTTCTGCATCGCACAAAATCGCCAGCTCTTTTGCTTTCTTAATCAAACCCTTCCTACGCTTTGAGAAAGTCACTTGCCTGCTCGTCGAATTTTCGATCCTCAGAATCACAATCTTCCCCCTACCCATACCAGCCCCCTTATGCTCTTTTTGTTTTAAGGTTTCTGCAATTGAATCAGTTCAATATTAATGCTACCATAAGGATTAAGAGGATTAAGAAGAAAGAATAGCTGGCGAATAAGAACACTTACAGTATTGATCAATCTGCGGTCTCTAAGAAACTATTATGATAATTTTACAGTCTAATAAGAGCCTAATATATAGGAAAAAGTTGTTTAGGGATGAAAGTAAAACCCATTTTTTCTTGGCTTATTAATTGATCAGCCCCGGTGAAACTGCCATTAGTCTAACTTTATCCCGTGAAAATGGTTTTCTCAATTTGCTTCATGAAACTGTCATTTTCATTTCATTTAGTCACAATTAACCTCATTTTCGTCCATTTCGTCAAATAAACATTAATTTAAAAGGAAAACTAACGAAAAGTCCAAAAAAAACTTCTCTTTTAACAAAAAGCCATTTTTAAAGGTGTAGCGAATAGCAAAAGCCATTTTTAAAGGTGTAGCGAATAGCGTCAGTTAAAGGTAAAAATGTGGTTTTTCGTTAAAAGTAAATAGTACCGGGATTGTTTTGTTAAAACTCCCTAATTTAAAAGGTAGTATGAACATTTTATTCTTGACACATCATTTCCCTCCAACTTGCTTGCTAAAACAATCTCAATTTCATTTTCGATAACTCTAGCTAATTCAAACCCCTCTCTATCTCTCTTGTGGATTGGCGTGGAACTGTAACTGCAGTTGTTGGCAAAAGCAATAACAGGTTGTATTTCATAAGCAAATAATGGGTTTTATTTCAAAATCAAATTCAAGACACTCATTGAATCCAATGATTACATGTATAGCTTTGCACCAATCCGCAAGAGAGACAACCGAGATTTTGAATTAAAGTTATAAAAAATGGAATTGAATTTGAATTAGACGGACAAACTAATAAACTTTTTTTAATGGGGAACGGGTTTGGAAATTAGTATTAAAATTGTATTAGTGGTTTGTACTAATTAACTTGTGTATTGAATTACAAATTAACAGATTATAAATATATACTTAGAGATAGGGCTATACGTAGAAACTACATATCTATCTTGACTATTTTAATGGTGCCATTGGCCTAATAAGTCAGCGACACATGTTAATAAAATATCATGCATACTTAGTTGTGTAGTGCGTTTTATGGGTGCCACGTAGAACAATAGTTGTGAAATAATGTTATACTTATTATCTAGTTGTACCATCATTTGTATAATCTCTTTAATAGAGATAAGGCCGCCAACGCATATCTATTAAAGAGATGGTAAAAGTATCATTTTTTATAGTTGTTTTATTTTATTTTTTATTTAATTTTTTTTAACTTGTAAGTGAAAATTCTTAGTTTTGACCTTGATATATGGCAAGTTTAATACTAAATTCTTAGCTTTACTTGTAATGAAGATTTTTAGTTTTGACCTTAATAGATGGTGAGTTTAATACCAAATTATTATGATTAATTTATTACAATATAGCGTAAATGCATACCTCATCCCTTTTATAAATATATACCGTAATATGAAAAAAAAATTGCTCAATACTTAAGAGCATCATTATACTAGTGGCATGTTTACCGATCGGGATTGCAACGTGGAGAAACGGAATTGGACTCTTCCCAAAGTATTCTGGCGTTTACCTGCAACTGGGGAAACATAAATCATGTAGGCCCACCCAATATCGGGAGTCCAGTTCCTTAAGATATCGTTTGGTACACAAACGGGAAGAAACGGAGGTTCCATGCTACGTTTGGTGTACGCTCAAGCCGGAATGGAACAAAGGATTAAATGACAACCGTACCTTTCACAAATTACCCATTACCAGTTTCCACCTCTTCCTCTTCTTCCTCCACTCCCTCTCATAACTCTCGTCCTTTCACCGGCTTTCCCTAGTATCCTTTTGTTCTTCTTGTTTGTTTCCCCAGAAAATTTCATCTTTTTGGCTTTCTCAGGAACCCTTTATCCGATCTGGGTTTTCTTTGTTTTGCTATTTTTCTTCTTCGAATATAGAAATCAAACGCAAAGAAAATTGCTTTATGTTGGGTTTTTGTCACTAAGTTTCCCGGAAAATTTGAAGTGCGACCAAAGAAGCTTGATATCCCGGAAAAACAAAAGAACTTAGTTTTTGAGTTTATCTGTTGAGGTAAATTTTGATTTTAATGAATATTTTATGCTAATTGTTCATAAATGGAGAGATCACTGGAATTTTGATTAATTTTCGAAGTGAAATTAATGAAAAAGAGGAGGTGTAGTGTTGTCTAAAAAGTTATAATTTTGTGTTCCATAGTCTGGAACAAGTCGTTCCAGGGGGAGGGTGGCATAAAAAATTGGCTAAAATCCGTTCCACGAGACAACGTGTCCTAGGCAAATTGGCGCACCAAACGTGGGAAGAGTGTGTCCAGTCCCATCCCACGTACCAAACGATACCTAATATCCTCGAAATTGGATTATGTAGGGTTAGTAATTGGACTCTGAGTAGGAGGTTACATCAGGAATCAAATTTTTTACCCAAAATACCCATTTACTTTTTCTGATATTCCTAAAATACCTCCTTCCTTTAGCCCTCCCTCCCCTTCGTGTGTATGTGATTTGCAGCGGGCCAAAACTTCCCATATTCTAGCAAAACCGAATAGAAGGAACGAACTCCTTATCACTTTCACTATGTGAAAACTAGTTTTTTCTCTATTGATGGGATGGGTTGTAACCTCATGGGGTCCACCTAAGATTAGATGGGGGTTCTAGATAAACACCCCAGCTGTGGGGTGGGGGTTCTGGATATTGTGGACTAATGGTTCTATAATTAGAGACAGAAAATGGAGGAAGAGGAGGAGACAAAAAAATAAATAAATAAATAGAGAAAATTCAGGTGTGGAGATATGGGGATGGTGAGGATAGGTTTGATTCTTTTCCTCTCCTATTTAATTTTTACGTTTTTGTTATTTATCCTATTTGGTTTTTATATGGAAAACAATCAAATACATTGAAAAAATAAAATAGTATTGTAGTCATATTTAGAATAGGAATGTGATTGTGTAAATCCTAGTAGATATAGGAATATCTCTTATATTCCTATTATGAGTTGATTACCTATTAAGAGTTGTAATCCTAAAGGGTAAGGTTTTGCCTATCCTTCTACTATAAATAAAGGCACAATGAGGGTGATACAACACACCTCACAATAAAATCACTCTCTTCTCTCTCAGTACTGTTGGCCCTTTCTTTTCTCTTTGTCTCTCTGTCTCTCTCTGTCTCTCTCTCTCTCTCTCTATATATATATATATATATATATATATCTCTCTCTCTCTCTCTCTCTCTAATCCCTTAGATTAGTTCAATCAAATAGGTCTACAATACGTTATCAGCACATTCTTGCCAGAAGCAAAGGAATTGACATATCGCAGGAGGAGGCTATCTTCCACAAAATTCAAAGGCTTTTCTTTGTCTTCTGCCAATCAGGTACGCTTAAAATAAAGGAAGATACTTGAAACATCCACGAAGCATGAAAACATTCCCCATGATGCATGAATCCCTCTATGTTTATATTTTCCTTCCAATATATATATATATATATATAATATATATATATATATATATGTATTGTATATGTTCATATATTTGTTTCATACATTAACAATTAAATTACTATGTGGAATTGTGAGTCAAAGCATATAAATAAAATAGAAGCAATTTTAGGATTTGTTCAAACCCTAACCATGCCAAATTTTTATTTTTTTTTTGCATTGGGCACTGTGCGGCACCACCGTCGCAACACCCACCATGGCACCATCAGACCACCACTGGCATGAAGCCTAGTTGAGTGGACCATACGACAGTAGCCTTTGGGCTTGTTGCACTGACTCCGACAACCCAGACTTTCGCCCTGATTAGCTCTATAGGGCTCGAAGTCCCTTAAGCCTAACCAAGAAATCCTGCAACCTTCTTGGCCCATTGTCCCATGGTTTAAAGCCTTCCTGTAGCAGTCTAAAGCCCATTGGGCTACGTCACGCGCACTAACGCGCTTCCCGCAGACTTTTCTGCTGGGCTATGCTGGCCCCGACCTGAATTCTAACCCCAGCTAGGCTTCCCAGACCCAAGCCTAGGCCAGCGCTTAACTGGGCCTGACTCGTTCCCTCCATTTGACCCACATAAGCCAGTAACTTGCTGCTCGGCTTCAAAACCCTCGGCCTGTGGCCTCTAGCCACTGTGAGCTGTTTTTGCAGCTGTACCCGAGCCCAATTTTTTGGGCTATACTTTTTCTACCCAATGTTATTATTTTGCTTCCACAATCGACCCCGTTTGGTCCTTATCTACTGAATTAATTAAAAGTAACATGCAGTCTATTAGTCTGATAATGAATCCAAAATTATTGACTTGAAAATCAGTTTTGGACATTCACGATTCAATCATTTATTTTTATACTTTGAACCTTTGACATACTTTCGTAGTAACGAAGCTCTCACACTTGAGTTCCCGAAGAACCTCAAGTCCACTACACTTAAATCCGCTTATTGCATTATGTGTTTCTTGCAGGAACCTTTCCTTTATGGACTAATTGTTCATAAAAACTAAATTGAACCTGTAGTTTCATATTTAGTGCCTTTGAAACCCGAAGTTTTCATTCAAAACTTACCACATGAAACCAGTAGTTTTCATGCATAAATTAAACCAATACATGTTTATAGAACCTAAAGTTCTACGATATATGTCTATGGATCACCATACGACTAATCACGTTTTTGTGTACCCTCCGTTTTAGGGATATTTTGAACTTGAACAAGCTCGATTCCATCGCTCTGGAAGTCACTGGAAGAAACTACCTGAAGTGGGTTCAAGACGTGAAGCTCCATCTTACTGCATAGGGTATTAGAGCCACCATAGAGGCACCTATCGACGACAAAACTGTTGACGAAGCTCAGAAAGTTATTGTAATGATCTTCATTCGAAGACACATCCATGTTGCTTTGCAGATTGAGTCCCTTGTTTAGGAGGACCC